CTGTCCCCACTTCGCGGTGGCGACCCCCTTCCTCCCTTTCCACAAACTGTACACTCATCACGTTTTTTTCCAACCCAAAACGTTTTGAAGGGCCAAAAAAACTTCAATTTTCGGGATGGTGGTTTTTGAGACATTTCTCCCAGTTAAATGTTTTTAGAATGCCGGGGGCCGAAGCTAGCTTCATCTTTTGTTTTCTGTCGCATTGAAACATAATTTGTTTACAAGGCTCCCATTGCTGGGGTCTGCTGTTTTAGTTTTAGGGGTCAAATCATTTGCATTTTTGGGTTTTCCTTTTCTATTATTTTTCTCCCGGGTTCCCTTAGGTGTCCATTTCTCCTTTTTTTCAATTGCCGCCCTTTTTGGGGAAATTTATAGTTTCTTCTTTTTTTTAAAAAGTCTATGCCGTGTGGCGTTTTAGCATACCATCCACAATCTTCTTTTCCGTGAATTTTCAAAAAATTCTGACACAGAAATCTACAGATTTTTCCCCTTTCCTAAGCATCCCAAAGTGTGTAGCCAGGTGGGGAAGGTAAGTGCTGTTTTCCCAAGTTTTTACCTTTGAGGCATATGCATCACTGCTGTGTGGCGGTTTTTCCTATTCTCCCCATCTGTTGTTTAAGAAGCCCTGGCCCAGGCTGGGTAGTTTGTTGGAAAGCGCCGGCCCTCTTTTATTGCTTTCCCATTCTTTGTTCTGGACCCCTATCTGACTTGGCCCGCGTTTGACGGACCCACGTTTAGATGATGATTTTCTGGATGCGAATTGATTACCAGGGCCCTTACCTCTGTAAATCGACCCCTGTAGTACTTTCTCATTGTTAAATTGAGGTTTATCAACCTTAGAGAACGCATGTCTACTTGTTTTTCACATTTTTTCCGTGATGATTCGTTAGGTTTAGTCTTTTCCATCAGCGCGGTCTCTTTGAGACGCATCCTTGCGAGTCTATAGGCAGTGGTGGTGAACGTCTACCGATACCCATATGTACGCCTGGACCTGTGCGACTTTGTATCTGCCTAGTCATCATTCCGGCCAACCCAGGAACATAACGCATGGCGTTGAAGGAGGTGTCTTCTGTGCAGCCGAGTATGAGTCTCGAGGAAATTGTTGTACTCGGTCATTCTTCCTATCTGGGTCCGGCCGACAGTGAGGAGGGCCCAAGACCATAAGTCAATGAAGCTCAATAACAATAATTTAAACAGTGGAAAGAAAGGTTAGGCGTGTTAACTCGTTGCTTCCCAGGAGTTTAGGCATAACAGGTCCAGGGGGGTAGGTTAGTAATAGAAAGTAATTAAAATCGACGCATCATAGGAAACCCTATGAAAACGTATGATTTGCGTTCCTTGGGACTCAAAAGAAGTTAGTATCAGCTGTGCTAGCACAGTGAGAGCTGTCATACATTTCCTGCTTCTAAGTATAACGTTTTCTATTGAGCTACTCATATGACAAGCATTGGTCAAATGTCATGTCTCTTTTTTCAATGACTACACACGCAAAAGACTTAAGACTGGCGTGTTACTGACAATGTTGGTAGTAGTCGTATGCAGTAGGTACTAGCAGTGGTGATGGGGTAGAGTTAGAGTAGCAGGAGTACGTAAGTAGTAGTGTAATGTTTAAACCAATTTATAATCCTGTCAAAAACATTTGGTTATAATTATAAAATTAAAATATTTTATTAATCTGGGATATGTATGCCTGCACTTACTTCTGGGAATATTATTATATGTCGTACATAAAATAAATAACAGTAAACAGACATGTAGAAGTATCGATTACTACATTTAATTAATTTCAAATTTACTTTTTAAAATAATTATGATAATCGCGTTGAGGGAATCTATGTTGTGGGTATATAAAAGTGAATTATTGTCAACTTTATTCTGTCTTAAGATATACAAACGGCCTAATCTGCAAAAGCTTTGCTCTTGTGGTGTATTGCTGTAAATTAATTCCACGTAGATGCATAGACCAGAGCCGTATTATATACAAACATGTTCCTTCCACTGTTCATAGGCCATTATTGTTTCTACTTTCTCAAGGGCCATGGCCAGGTGAGCTTTGATAGTAATGTCTATCCGCGACCGTTCTGTCTCGGGCACTTTCAGTTCAAACTCTGATACCGGTGGATAATTTTTGACTTCGAGTATGGACATTTAAACAACATGTATTTTTTTGACGGTCACTTCTGTGTCTTACGCAAGTCGTACGAATAGCGCACAGAACATGGATCGCAGAAGTCTACTGGAAACAAACATGGCCACGAGGGCTAGTCTAGTATGTAAGGTCCCACCTCTGTGTTTTATTCCAGCATCAAGTATGGCCATGAACGTAGAAATGAAGATGCCAACGAGTCATTGGAAACATTATAGGGTATAGTTTATTAAATGAAATGTGTGGCGTGTGGACGGTACAGAGTATATAGTATTATACTAATAAACACAGTAATTACGTCACTTGTTGTGTTCTCTCTAGTCCACTCCGTAATGCGTCGCAAGACGCGGTAATTGAACACGGTCACTAATTTAAGTCGCAGCGCTGGGTCTGCAAGGCACGTCGAGCTCACTTTGTGTTTTGATTCGTGCCTTCTCCAGTCCGTAATAGCACTGTAGCCAGGGGAGAAAACTCCGACTAACCGGTCGTCTACATTTGTCTATCGGCCGTAGTTGAAAGGAGAGCCGAAATTTTGCATACCTCCATCTATACACATCATACACTAGTAGTGTTATGAGTTACAACTTACACCTGTTCATAATTAATTTTCCGCTTTGTTACAATAATTATAAAATGATATCCCTGCGGGAAATTTCAGTGTCAACAAATATCTAGTTTTTCCTTGTGTGGGTTCCGAGGCCCTATTGTGTGGAAAACAAGAATAGACCCACTCTTACTGCCTACCCAACAACTTGTTGAAATGTTGAACAAGCATGTCGTAAGAGTCGACTAAATCATGGGTGTTTCCGTCTGAGTGCATCTACCTGAGAGGCAAGGAACCAACAGTCTGCATACAAATTTTAAAAAGTCAGATCTGTAAAATGGATGTGCACACAACACTCGGTGCTGGAACAAGCCTAAAGACCAGAGGTGGATGAACAACCAGAACTTTCCGCCAGAGTTTGCAATTTTTTTTTTGGTGTGCAAATGAACGCAAAAAAGAAGATTTAGATATCTAGTTTCATTATGCCTTCTATGTGGTATATAAATAAAAACAACACTGATTCAGAGCAAACAAACAACATGCTTAGAGTAAATTACAGGAGCTGGTTATACTGAGTCTAATTTAGTCGACACAGTCACATTAGGACAGCAGGTAACCAGCACCTGTATGTTTACCAGTCTACTATAATTTTAAATAGAGAACTTAACTTTTATCAGCAATGATTAATTTATATTCAGTAATGAACTGTTGTCTTCACAGTCGAGGTTGGCTGCATGGATCCAACACACTATCTCTGGTCTTTGTGTACACTGTAGGCTTTCAGACTGCTGTTTGCCCATCTCTTGTGTCATTCTGCTGTTTCATTTTTGTCTACTTCTTGCTCACTTGCTTTTGACTTTTCCATTTGTTTCTTCAAAAGTGTTTTACCTGACACACACAAAAACACAAAATATTTCAGCTACATTTAAAAAGACGTATTTTATCTAAATGTAGTTATAATTTTGTTGTTGTTCAGAAGCTCTTTTCTTTCAAATCCTAGTCTCTTCAGAACCTCTACACAACTCCTTTTTTTTTTCTTCACAGGAACTGTTGAAAAAGGAGTTGTTGAGGTGACCAATTGTTTTGCAGTTCCTCACAATGAATCTGATGATGAGGTAAATTAAGGTTTGAATAATTGAAATGTTCAGCTGCTACCTTGCTTGATAACCTATGACTTTTTTTTTAGTTTGTACCATTTCCACAGTGGTAAATTCATTGCTGTCTTTATTAATATAAAAAGTGGTGAGGCACCAATCACTTCTAGTGTGACTCTCCCCGTATGGGTTCTAGTGCCCCAATATTGTGGGAGAAAAAAAGAATCGGTGCCCTATTTTCCTTTCAAGCATGTTGTAAAAGTTGACTAATTAAAGGTGTTTCCTTCAAAGTCAGATTGCATCTCTTGGAAGGTAAGGAACCAGTAGTCTACTTACAATTAGATCAGCTCTTAACATGTTCTGGAACAAGACTATAAGTTTACCCCAAAAAAGGGAACTTTTTTCTGGAGTTTACAGCTGGTGAACATGAAGAAGAATACCACTTTCCAAAAGTTATGAGTAGCCTTTTTTTAAAAATAGCGCTCGATTCAGAAATTGAACACTGGGATGTTTGTTGTCGAGCATTGATCACAAACATTAAGCCACAGAGCCGCTGCATGATGTTAGTCCTTGTACTTTTCTTGTATACCGACATAAAATTCTTGTAGCTGTCGTCATCAAAGCTGTTGATAGAAATCTTAATTGTTGATGTTATTAAAACATAACTCTTTCGCCCCGGTATTTCTTTTTTTAAATGGGTCATGACCCCATTGGAATTCCATTTAAAAAACCTAGAATACAAAAATTTGCACAGCGCATGAATAAATCCATAAAAAAACTGTTTGCATCTTTTAAAATTCTTTTTGAAATATATAAAGATCTTTGAAGGAAGTAATCAATAAATACGAACACGCGAAGCATTGAATGGAATACATTCCCCACGGCTGGACAAAACATGTATTGGGTGGCCCTTATCAGGACCTATATCAGTGAGACAATGGGAAAATTTGTCGTTAATTTGGCTTTAAAAAAGCTGTTTGGTTAAATAGGCCCCCCCCCCCCCCCCCCCCGTTTTCTTTCTTTTTCTTCTTCAAGTTAATGTAGTCATATCATGACCTTCTACTTACCGTTTGCACATGTGCAAAAGCAGCCAGTAGCATTAACTATGGTTAGTTGCGTATCCTTTACAGGACGTTGCAGAACCAACCCCAACAGCCCCTGGCTGTTGTGTGGTTTTTCTAGGCAAATTTACGTCCAGTAGTTTGCAATTGCTTCCTGGACGGTCGGCTTTCTTGATACCACTGTCAAAACCAACGCAAGGCGCATGGCCCGCAGCTGGGATCGAACCCGGCATTACGAAGCGCTCACATTGACTTAGTCACAAAGCCTGAGTGGGAGGAACCCACAGTCTGCATACCAATAAACAAGATCTGGAAATCAGATATGCACACAGAACTCAAGTTAGGAACAAGACTGAACTGCAGTCCTGCCCCAGAACCTGAGTGTTGCGTGTGCATCAGTTTTACAGATCTCATTCTCTTGAATACAGACTGTTGGTTCCCTGCCTCTCCGGCAGATGCACTCTGACTTCAAAGGAAGCTCCCCAATTAGTCGACTCTTACGACATGCTTTTGGGGAGGCAGTGGGTCTATTCTTGTTTTCCCCACAATGGGGCCCCGGAACCCACACGGGGGGCTCCTGTCATTTGATTAAAGTGTTGTTCCTCTTCTGCATATGCAGAAGTGTTAAAGTATTTCATCCATTTGTTTTTTTCTTTATCTCAATAGATTTGTTATGTCTTGGTTTGCCAGTTTTTCTTATTTTCTTTGTCATGTTTGGTAATATACTTCTCTCACACAGGTTGCTGTTGATATTGAGTATGCCCGCAACATGTATGAGCTGCACAAGAAGGTCAACAGCAGTGAAACTATTGTTGGTTGGTAAGTGTTGTTTTTTTCTCCTTTCATTCCTATGACATGGATGTGTGTTTCACACCTTGCTGTGCATATGTTTAGCTCAGAGATCAGGGTATGAGACTTCAGTGTGCATTTTTCAAATAATTACTACACCCCACGCTGGTTCTGGAGTCACATTTGAGATAGTGGAAGCTTGCTGAAACCAGATATGTTGAACCTAAAGGTGTGAATGTCGCAGCCTAGCTATAAACCACAGGGTGCCGAACGCCACCTAAAATGGGAACGATGAAGAAGAAAAATGGTAATTTCCTCAGAAAGATCTGCCTGTCTTTCCAGAACTCTACTACAGAATTTTGTACATAGAGAGAGGTGACAAATTCTACCTTTTAGATGATTCGGCTATCTTCTGAATAACGGTCCCAAATTATTGAGGCCAAAAATATACCCTAACAGGGCCTCATTCACATGTCAGTTGCCGACTTCTGCCACAGCTGAGAGTATACCCCACGCCAATACGCGCGGCATGGATTGGGGCTAAACTAGATGGCTGGGACTCACGAGCAAATAAAATGAAAAGAAGCTGCAGGAGATGCGGTAGCTGCTGCTCGTGATGCCCTGTTAGGGTATATTTTCGGCCTCGATAATTTGGGACCGTTATTCGGAAGATAGCCGATGATTGACAGCCAAACATTGTAAGAAGAAAAAATTGGCCAGGCTGTACAATTTTATTTTGTGTCTTTTTTTTTTACACCATTGGCACATGAAACATACAAAGGGACGAAGACACTGGTATATGATTAATCTGAAGAAAAAGAGACATCAGACCATGACAGATTTAAAGAAAAGGAGACATCAGCCTGTGGCAGATCTACATAAAAGGAGACATCAGCATATGGCAGATCTAAAGAAAAAGTCAGTATATTAGGGATCTAAGAGGAATGAGACTTCAGTGTACAACTTGATAGAATGAAAAGATAGATATAGGGGTAAATAATGGATAGATTGAATAAACAACAGACAGATAAACAAACATAGATAAATAGACATACAAATTGATGTACAGATAGATATAGATAGATAGTTGTTCTTTCACTTTTAGTCTTTAATCTTGTTCCAGAACTTTAATGTTACATGCACGTCTGTTTTACAGATCTGGCTTGTTTGTATGCAAACTGTAGGTTCTTTGCCTCTCATGCAGATCACTCTGACTATGATGGAAAGCTCTAATTAGTCGGCTCTTACAGCATGCTTATTGGGAAGGCAGTGGGCCTGTTCTTGTTTTCCCTACATTAGGGTCCCGGAAACCACACAGGGGAGGATTTATATAGAGATATAACAAATTAATATATAGAGAAAGAAATATATTTATAGGATAATTTACAGAAATATACATACTGATACAGAGATAGATTTTCAGAACGATATACAGATATAAATACATTCATATGTCATTCAGTTTACAATGGGGTAGATGAAGGAAGACTATAATTTTATCAGTTGCTGTTGCAACTTTACGGCATGCATATTTTTGTACTAATCTGCACTGGATGTATGTGGTGAACAATATCACGTTGTCCGTCTTTACTTCCTGTTCTTTTAATTGGTGTCCATTCTAGTCTGGGCCGACTTAGGAGCCAAGGTCAATGTACCAGTGAAGAATGAAACCCAAGACCGTTTATCAGACTGTTTTCCTTATAATTAACTTGATATTATATATATATATATATATATATATATATATATATATATATATATATATATATATATATTTTTTTTGCCTTGCTTTTGCCAGGTTCTCAACAGGCTTGGAGGTTTCTGTACACTCAGTGCTAATCCATGACTACTACTCCAGAGAAGCCAAGAACCCAATCCATATGACTGTTGACACGTTTGTACGTGGAGGAAAGATGACCATCAAAGCATATCACAGGTGGTACTTTTAATTATCACAGATAGTACTTATGATTACTATAACTGTCCATTTTGTTGTCATCCAATTAATGATGTTAATTTTCTTCATAGTTTAGAACTATCGTAAACTGTCTCTTTCCATTTAGATTAATCATATAGTGGTCTGGGTCAGTATGGTCGATAGGGGAGTTTACTATTCTAAGAGTTTGCTTCTGATAATAGTTTACACACGGCCCACTGGGAACTTGCCCAGGGACCCTGTGAACATGCCGACCTCTTGCTTATCTGTGTTTGTCAAGTGACTAGCCATAGATGAAAGCAGCTTTGGTATTAAAGAAACAGTTAATGATTTTATTTTTACCCCAGACAAGAAAAATAATTGTTTTAAGTCACCTTATCGGGGTTTCAAAGCTGGTTCTCCCAAATAAGAGCTGTGCGCTTGAAACCGCACAGACAGCCTAATGGTTATTATCCACTGTTTAAACATTTTCATTCTCTTTTACACCAGCACTAAGATTGGAGTCCCTGGCAAAACCGAAGGCACCATGTTTACGCCAGTGCAAGTTGAGACGATCTCTTACGAACCTGAACAAGTTGGAGGTTTGTTGCATTTTTTTTTTTAAACTTGTGAATGTAACAACAAAGAATTAAATTAAAACACTGTTTCCCTTGTAAAGTTGAACAAAGAAGACACAGATTGCACAATTTTGCAATATCTTCTCAGATGCATTCTACAGTAATATTTCTTCTTCTTCTTCACGTTCACCAGCTGTAAACTCTGGCGGAAGGTTCTGGTTGCTCGTCCACTACTGAACTGCAGTCCTGCTCCAGAACCTGAGTGTTGCGTGTGCATCAGTTTTACAGATCTCATTCTCTTGTATACAGACTGTTGGTTCCTTGCCTCTTCGGCAGATGCACTCCGACTTCAAAGGAATCTTCCCAATTAGTCGACTCTTACGACATGCTTTTGGGGAGGCAGTGGGTCTATTCTTGTTTTCCCCACAATGGGGCCCCGGAACCCACACGGGGGACAGTAATATTTAAAATTGTGCTTGTTTAAAAAATTTATTTAAATTTTTTTTAAATTCAGTTGCGCTATTGTTTTTCAAAGACTGCTTCCTGTGTGGGGCCTCATTCTGGGGGTGGCATGAATAGACCCACTGCCTTCCCAAAACTCATCTTGTAAGAGTCAGATAATTGGGGCGCTTACTTCGAAGTTGAAATGTATTTGCCTGCAAGGCAGGGAACCAGTTGTCTACATACAAGTAAGCCACATCTGTAAACTGGAAGTGCATGCAACATTCAGTTTATGGAAGGGGACTGAAGTCCAGAGGTGGACAAACTACAGGAACTTACCAGAGTTTACAACTGAAACTGGTGGGTGCAAAGAAGATGAAAAAGAGATTAAAAACCACAGGCAGCTTTGTAGACTGTCATGTCCTCCACTGATCCACACACCTTGGTTTCCACCTGAATGCTGACTGGGGATCTCTCTACTGCAGCACGTGTTTGGTATTCTGGGGTACCTTCCCATGTGGGCAAAGCACTGAATCTCCAGTCTTGAAATTACTGCACACATGGCTGCAGAATTTGTTGTGTCAGGTTGGCAGTCTAACTACACTGATCCGCTCCTTTCGTGTTGGGAGTTTGATTGAGTCTTTGGGATTGTATTCTATGTTCTGATGGCTTTCTTGATCTGGATTTTATTTATGTTGTAAGTGCACCACTCATCTCAGTGTTCTACATTGCTCCCAGTTTTTGCTAAATAACCATTTTTGTTCATTTTCTCACTTCTTTTTTTTTTTAAACAAATATTTTTTATATTATTAAGTTAAATCTAATTATTTTGAGAAAGGATAAGTTGCAAGGGCAGTTCATCGCAAATAACAGAAAGAAAAAATCAGTTTTTAAAAAAATGGGTGATCTTCTTCTTCTTTTAGTTCACCAGCTGTAAACTCTGGTCGAAAGTTCTGGTAGTTCATCACTTCTGTACTGAAGTCCTGTTACAGAACCTGAGTGTTGCGTGTGCACCCGTTTGACAGATCTGACACATTTGAGTGTAGACTGTTGGTTCCTTGCGTCTCAGGCAGATGCACTCCGACTTCGAAGGAAGCTCCCAATTAGTCGACTCTTACGACATGCTTTTAGGCAGGCAGTGGGTCTATTCTTGTTTTCCCTATAATAGGGCCCTGGAACCCACACAGGTGAAAATGGGTGAATGAACCTGTTGGAAGCATAAAAATCCTTTAAAAAACTTATTAAACACCTGTCACTATTAATGGGGGGGGGGGGTCAAAATGTGTCTAAATTGTAAACTTAAAAAAAAAAGTGTGACGATATATAAAAAGGGTAATCAGTAAAGACTAACAGAGTGAAGCATTAGATGAAATACATTCCCCCTAAAGTTGAGAAGAGGAAAACTGAAACTTATGATACCAAATGTTTATGGAATATTTGTGAAAGAGGAAGACAAAGAGAAGATTTTGGGCAGATTAGTCTCATAGCATGAATATTTGTCAGCAAGCATATTGACGTCCTTATCATCAACTGCCTTGTCGACTGGCATGGGCGATCATGCTTCTCCGCAGTTAGAGACCTTCACCTTACATGTGTATCATTTTGTGTGCTGATGCCCCTCAGGCCACGATGACAGAAGGCTGGCAAGAATTTTCCTGTGGTCACAGCCTGTTCCAGTTTCCTTCTATTGAAAGAAAAAAGTATTAATGCTGGGGAGTATATTTTTGTGTTTTTTGATTTTCTCGTGATTAATTGCTGAAATTTTTACCCAACAGTGGAAATGTTGCAGAAGGGCAAATACAACAGCAAACGCATTGTCCAGCTCAAATCAGATCTGAAACAAGTGGAGTCCTCAGCTCACTGGATGAGAGAGACGCTGGCTCATGTCACTCAGTATGTTGATGATGTTCTGGTAAGTAAGTTGGACTGCCCCAACTTTTAGCCTAAGCGGTGTATTCACTGAGGATAGACAAGCAAAAGCAGGTCATGAATGCATTATTTGTGCCAACTGTGTGATACAACTGCCAGACAAGGACGGCCCTAGATAATTACACAAAAAAAAAACTATTTACTCAAAATTACATGTGAGATGAGGTGTTTTATAAATGTGGTTCTTTTATGTGAGAATGAAATTCTCAACATGGTGGCCCCCAACAAGCATGTGAAAGACCACTTAGGAGTTTTGCTGAAATTGGATGTGTTTGGCAGAAGGACGCAGGCATCAAAGCCTAGCTGTACACCACGTCACAGCATCACAACCACCCTTTGAAGGAGGGATGCAGAAAAAGCATAATTAAACGTCAGAAAGAGAGTTCTGGAATGTTATAGCAAACCTATCCTAGTATATAACAGTCAATTTTGCAATGTGAATGAAAAAAAAATTAGGAAAAGCTTGAGAAGCAGAACTAAACTACTTCAAGTCACAAACCAAGAAACTGAAGACAGTATGATAACCAAGAGAAGATGGAAATGGCTTGGCCACGTTATGAGAATAAATCCTGATATCCCCGCCAAAACAGCTCTCACATGGACACCAGAGGGAAAGAGAAAACAGGGGCGCCCAAAAACAACATGGAGATGAACGATGGAAAGTGACCTGAGTGCTGCATCTTTGACATCGAAAACTTCACTGAAGATTGCGCAGGACAGGAAAGCATGGAAAGTCATCTCTGAAGCCTCATGTGCCACTAGGCATAACAAGAACTGATGATGATGAGAACCAGAGATGTGGTTTCTGAGCCAAACATTGCATATGTCTTCGATCTTCTTCTTCATTTCTAACCCTTGAGGTTCATTGCAGCAGATATCACTCATGTCCATTAATTTGTGATTGGCCTTGTTGGTTTTTTTTTGTATCTGCTATATATTATCTCTCCATTGTCTTCTGGTCTGCATTGTGATCTGCTTCCATTCGTCTCTTTCCATTCTTCTCTGATGGGTCAAAAGGTTTCTTGTAGTCTAGACATCTGACTTCGTTTGACCTAGCCAGGTATGGCAGACTGTCTGGAACCACAGGCATCCTGCTACCTTTATGTACAACTGTTATAACCCGTTTGAATGAGAGATGAGGAAGAAATAGTCTGCATAGAAATATGTCAGATCTGTAAAAATGGATGTGCACGCAACACTCAAGTTCTGGAACAAGACCACAGAGTCCAGAAGCAGAAAAACAAGCAGAGCTTTGTCACCTGAGTTTACAGCCGGTGAACACTAATAAAAAGTAACCCTGTCCCTGGTTACTTTGTTGGTGACCATTCGGAGACAAAGAATTTTTATTTGCTTTTGTCTACCCATTGTCCATGTTTATGCTTTGGACTGAAATAGTTCAAAACTTTGTTGAGCTGTATTGATTCATTTTGTTTGTTGTGGAAATAGGCTGGTAAAATTCCCTCGGACAATGTGACTGGACGTTTCCTGCTGGATCTGGTTACTGGGGTTCCACAGATTGAACAGGAGAAGTTTGAAGAAATGCTCAACTCTAACATGAAGGTATGTGGGGTTTATCCTGTTAGTGGTGTTCTCATGGTGCTGATATTTATGTGAACACCATCCTGCCAAAAACTTTGTGAGTTTATTTTGAAAAATGTCGCCGGATCAAATAATGTGCAGTCATTATAGTCGCTGGGTTTGGGGAAAATGCAGAAAAAAATTGGGTGTGAATACTATCCACCCATAGAATTTTAACTGGGATTATTACTATTATGTGAATACTGTCCAATAAAAGAATTTTAACAGGTTCATGTTGCATGCACAAATGCTGTCCTAACAAAAAAATGTTAACAGTTTTTATATTGCAATCATTTTCTGCATATAATTTTGAGTGTTCGCAACAAAGTGTTTAAAAAACGTGTCGATACTGCTCACAAAGTAATGCATAAAAAGAAACATGGTACTGTGTGCCAGACAAAAAAAAAGCCCTGCATATGTGAACACCATCAGACTAGTTTTACTTAAAGATAAGAGTTCTTAAAAACTACTCATTTGGGCAACATTAGTCCTTTGCCCAGAATCCCTCCCCCCCCCCATCTGAAAAAAATATTAAAAGAGAAACAAGCCAGTCCACCCTCCCCCCCCTTCCCCCCCCCCCCCCCATTTGACCTAAAGAAAATATATTTTTATTTTATATATATATATATATATATATATATATATATATATATATATATATATATATATATATATATATATATTGACATATTTGAAGGGATGTAGTTATTTAACACTAATGAGGTTCAGAACTAAGTGAATATATTTTCTTGGATTAACAGAATATTTCTTTATTTTATATTTCTCATTATTTCTCTCAATGAAATACGAAATTATGCTGAAGACAAATTATAGCGCCATAGCGACTTGAAACGCATATTTTTTCAACCAGATGACATTATACCCGGCTAAACACTACATAGTCACAAACAGTAACAAAGCCAATATGCAGGCTTGGCGGAGACTGGCTAGTACCATAATAATATTGGCTTTGTGATCGATGACAGTGCCCAAATGACATGTTTACTGGGTAAAAGGTCTTAAAATTAATGACCCTTTTCCACACTCTTAGACACATTGGTATACTCTGGATGAGCTATCCACTTTTACTTGCCAGAATTGTTGTACCCATTTTAGACTAGCTTAACCTGGGAGGGTTTCATGTTTGAAAAAAAAAGTATGTTTCAGTGCAGATTTAAACCTTCAGACTTTGGGCAAGCTATGCCAGCTCCCTGGAGGTTAAAAAGTGTATAATTGTCTATTGGTAGACTGCATGTATCTTTATATCTGTGGCTTAAGCATTGCAAATGTGCTCAGTAATCATTTCATAGTGCCGGGTTCGATCTCACTATGGGTGATTTAGCAGCAGACCTCCTTGTGTTGCTTTGACCTGGTTATCTCGAGCCGACGATTCTGAAAACTGTGGCAAACTATTGAACATGTTGGTTTAGCAGCAGCCTGTAAAGGATATGCAACTAACTTTATACCTCTTTCATCTGTCTGTAATACACAGTGAAAACAAAATGCATAGTTATCCAATAGTGTGTTTTTATTAGATGACGGGAAAGCCTGTACAACTAAAAATTATCAGTGACCCAGATGCAAAAGAACTAAGATCTAAGTTTGGCCTAAGATCTTTATATGTGCCGTTTGAAGTTTCATTCTTCAAATTACAAAGATTTTGAATGTCAGAATTATGAAAAAAAAATTTGTTCCTTTCAGTAGCTGGCGTTTCATGTCATTAGATAACTGTGCGTAAAAAAAAATAGTTGTTTACCAAAGCAATGACATTTTGTATTAATATGTCCCTACTTGTGTCCCACAGGATCTACTGATGGTCGTCTACCTGGCCAACCTCACCAAGACCCAGCTTTCCTTGAATGAGAAACTGAGCACCCTATAACCACCACTCTTGTGTAGTGCAGAATATGATACATGTTTCATGTAATACAGAGAGGTCCTGCCTCAGTCTTAAAAGTTGGCCTTTGTTGTTGTTGTTCCACGTGCGTTTACTGACAGCGCAGATATTGGCTGGCTGAATGGTTTAGAATGCTAGGCTATTATATGGGAGTCCCAGGTTTGAACCTTGTTAAGGTCAAGGATTTTGTGTGCGTTCGGGGCCACAGACATAAAAGTCCTAACATGCACAGTCCAAGGCGACAACGGTAACCATGCAGCCCTAAATCCTCGGGCTCAAAGACACTACTGAATGATACAAAAAGTATGGAATGGTAGAATACAAACAAGACAGTACTCCTGGAGAAAGATGAAAACAGTAAAATTGTTTAGAGAAATTTGAAGAAGTTTTGTGTGTGCAAGTGGGGAGGAATGGACTCCAGAACTTGAACACAGACTGATGGGGTGCAAGTCCGGAGGTAGACCAACACCTGGAGCTTACAGCTGGTGAATACAAAGAAGAGGAAGACATTGCATACACATCCACAGTAAGAAATTATACAAATACAAGGTTCATAGAAAAAAAATGCTCCCACAAGCATTTCATTAAAAAATTGACGAAGAGCTTGCTGAAACTAGATATGCTGGGCCAATAGGTATAGTGTTGCAGCCTAACTGTAAACAACAATGTGACACACCAACCACTTTTCTATAAACAGTTTAGAAAAAGACATGATAACATACACCATATGATACAGACCAAGAGTTCATTTTATAAAGTGACGTTTATTAGCCCTCCAGAATACTCTCCATCCATAGCACAGTATAGCACATCCATAAAAACCAATAATTCTACACAGGTCACTAACACAATTTAGTGAACATTCGTTTAATTTTTTTTAAATCTAAAAAGGTGAATATTATCTTTAAAAAGTAAAGACAATTTTTTGCTTGGATTCTTATGGAAAAAACAAATTCTCTTGGTCAGATTTGTAACTGTACTGCTTCATCTTCATCTTTCCTCCCAGTTAGGTGAAAAACACCTGTGGCTAGGTCTGGCTATATTGGACACTAAAAGCGGAGGTCTTGGATGGTTTCAACTGTTGCATGGACAGTATGGGATCGAGCGTTGTCATGTTTTGGATTTGAGTACGGGAAGAAGAGGTGAAGCAGTTACATTCAGTATATTCCCAGGGGCCTAAATACAATATTATCTGGCGACTAATGCTGTGACCTGTATCACTGAGACTTATGGGAAAATGTTTATGTCAATTTAACATTAAAAATGTTCAGCTTACAGGAAAGCACCCCTAAATGCTAATTTTTTTTAGCAAATTACTTAATACCCTGACCTCTTAAACTTTTTCTCAGGCTCAAACTCAGCCAGCAGCATTACATGTGCATCTCGTAAAAATGTCACTGAATTTTCACTCTTAAAACTCATCTTGACGTCAAAGGGGATTTTCCATGTCTAGCTAGCTTCTAAAGGTGAAATCCACAGACATGGGTTAAATGGTCACGAAGGGCCCTTGTGTCAGCTCAGTGCCGGCATAATGGCTCTGCATTTTATTGATGAAAGCCTATTCTCTGAAGTTGGAGCACATCTGTTAGCAGCGAGGAACAACTGCAAGTAAGCCAGATCTGTAAAACGATCATGCACGGAAAATTCAAGCTCTGCAACAAGCCTGAGAAATGGACAGCCAGCCAGAAGCTTACAGCCGGTTAATGCTAAGGAAGGAAGCCTCCCTGGGTGGTAGGAATACTAATGTTCTGCCCCTGCCTTCGTTTGGGGGCTGACCAGCATTACAAAGGCTGCTCTGGACAGGCCAGATAGGTAGCACCACATGTGCACTAGGAAACAAAGATCACCACCTAACAAAGAAACTGCGATGTTTCATGAAAATAACTAGGATGACTAACCTGGTTAACTTCTTTTTCTTTGCGTTCACCAGCTGTAAACTCTGGGGGAAAGTTCTGGTTGTTCGTGCACTTCTGGACTGCAGTCCTGTTCCAGAACCTGAGATTTGCATGTGCATCAGTTTTACAGATCTGACTTATTTGTATGCAGACTGATGGTTCCTTGTCTCTCAGGCAGATGCACTCCCAATTAGTCAACTCTTAGGCCATGCTTTTTGGTAGGCAATGGGTCTATTCTTGTTTTCCCTATAATAGGGCCCTACATATGGACCAGGTTAACAATTGCCTAAAGTCTGATATGTTTGCCAAAAGCACCAATTTCCCGGCTATGCTGTAAACACAATGCAATTACGTGATAATAAACAAGCTTGGGCAGAGAAGAACGGCAGTGTATCTATCACCCATCCCCAATATAGGGCCCCAGAATCCACACATGAAAATTGTCTCATGCTTGGTGGGTTACAATGTCACCATTTGCTTGTCATAAGGGTTCTGGTTTTTCAGCATGCGGTTACTACTACTATCCCAGCATTTCAAAAATCTCCCCTGACGTACATTAGCACATACTTACTAACGCTCACAGTTCAGCTTTATGGGTTAAAGCAGTGTTCTTCAGCCGATGGGCTGTACCCACTGCTAGGCTTCGGAAAAGTTCAGAAAGGCCACAATGTTTTGTGTGTGTTTAAATTTAACGGAGTAGTGTATGTATTTTTTTTTTTTAAGGATGAAAATAAAGCGTGCAAGTTCAACTGCAGAGATTTTCTAACTTCTGAGCAGCAGCAGCAGATTTTGCAATCGCTTAGAATTTGTAAACCCTATATCATTAACTACTGCCGTCTGCTTTGTTTTCATGTTTGGTTAGCTGTCAAGTGGACCACAAAGCAATTTCTCCTGTTTTGGTGGGGCCGCTTAAATAAAAAAAATTGTTGAACACTGGATTAGAGCATATTTCACAATCTTCTGCATACCAAGGTTTGATTTTCACTATGCATAGTCTCTACAAGAGAAAAAACCTTTCTTGTGGCTTTCAGACAGTGGTACATTAGTCACACCATGGAAGTGACTAGGACAACACCACAAGTTATTCCAAAAGATAGCTGATCAGCAAGCCACTACTGCGGAGTCAAAACACTGCCATTGCTTCTGCAGTGTAGGTATGGGAATGGATCTCTGGGCCCGAGGGTTCTAGGCTGTATGACTAGTGCTGTTGCTTCTGACTGATAAGAATTTATTTTTGCCCTTAACTCTTTGAGTCCTAGAGGTTTTAGCATCACAGGCCCAAGGGGGTAGTCAAAAGAGACGTAAAATTGTCGCATCATGCGTTCATTGGGCTTCTAATCAGTAACCTATGAACGTATGATGCGTTCCTTGGGACTCAAAGAGTTAACAGAAAAACCCAACTCTACTGAGAATTTTGATGCGAGCCCCTGCGTCCTTAACTATTAGGGCAGCCGCTCCTCACAACACACATACATCCACAAAATAATCACAAAGAAAAATTGTGTCTTTTATTTTCCATATGGCTGTTGCACTTTTCCTGCACAGTTAAGCTAAACGGGTGCATGAAAATCAGTCCATCTGATGTAGAAAACATGTACAGCAATAAATAAAGTGATGTCGCCATTGTCTGCCTCTCTAACTTGACTCCTTATTTTCAGATCGTTTTGTTTTGGTTGTATAAAAGAATAACTGCAACGTCTCCTTCTCCATGACTGGAATAGTTCGGAAATGACTAGCAACCGCCTGTAAGATAAAAAACTGAATGCCAGTATGGAAACAAACAACAAATGATTTAAGACATAAAAATTACTACCAATTAAAAAAAAACCAAAAAGATGAAATAATTACAGAAATAATAAGCATGGGGGGGGGGGGGATTAAATAATCAGACAAAAATGATACTATTATAGAAAACATAAAATGACATAATTATAGAAATAAATAAAACAAAAATAATGACATAATAAGCAAAAACATAAAATAAGGATAAAAATTATGCAAACAAAAACAATTATATAAAACAAACCTACAGATATAAAGTAATTATATAAATAAAACAGTAATTAGGGAAACAAAAAAATTGAAAATTAGACTTGTTTTAATTTATAAAAACAAAAGGAAAAGATGAAATAATGAAAACAATTTTTCTAAAACAAGAAATAAATTTAAAAAATTGAATCAGTTTAAAAAAAAATTATGCAAACACTTGCCCTGTCCCCAGTAAACTTTTCCATATGGCGATGGTAGAAGTAGCAACATGGTTAACCCATATCACATCACAAATGTTAAATAAGATTAGGGTATGAAGCCGTGGGCATTCACAGAAAAAATCCTTTAACTACCATTTTTACATGAATTGTTTTAACATGTATTTATCCATATTAAAAATGTTGTTCTTCAAAATATATAAAAGGTGTAATCACTGAACAGAGTAACTAGAGCACCATTCTGTGACCCTTATCACTGATGCACACATTTTTTGGGGGGAAGGGGGGTGGGATGTCAATCTGGCTTTAAATGGAAGCATCACACAAAATCATTTTTAACTAAGCTTTATGAGAACAGGTCACTAAAGTAATATACTAACTAGCATTTATGGGAATGTTTCCCAAAAAAGGGGGGGGGGGTAGATTTTAGATTAGATCTGTCAGGGCGAAAAGTTTAACGGCGCACTCCAACAACAGCACCTGCTGTTTTCCTGTGTTCCTCAATGAAGCATAGAGGATTGGTGATTTACGTCTACGCCATCTTTGAGGCCAAGACAGGAGACACTAGTAAGCAACTTCTCATAGGAACAATCAGTAGAGGTACCTTGTGCTGCACCGGAGGACCAAGCACGTATGGAAATGCCAACTGTGCAGTAACGTCAACTGTGATAACATAACATGGCATCTGTTGTTACTTACATCAGCTAGTTGAGCCTTACTCAACCCAGGACGGGTTGGTAGTTTGTAATGTCTCTTGTATCTTCTCAAAGTGTTCACTGGCATCTGGAAAAAATCAATCTGTGGAGAAACCGGTACAATGCAGGTCAGCTTTGCAAGTTAAAAAGAAATAGAACTTAAAAAATGTCTCAGACAAGCAAACAAAACCGAATTAAATAAATGCTTAAAAAAAAAAAGAAAGTAAAAGAACATTTTCAATACTAGGAAATGTGTAAAGTCAATGGGAATTAAAATCCAGTTTCACTAGTTGATATCCTATTCCAAGAAAAATATGACTATTAACAAGTAGGTCAGTGGCAGACCTTCAAGAAAAAAAAAAGGGTGTCCGCGGGTCCCATCTACAAGGAAAAACACTTCTTCGCTAGCTGCCCTTTATCCCTCAACCAGCTCAGGTCAATTTGTCCTATGCTTTGCTATCACATGCAGCTCACCCCTTGTCCTCTCTCTCTTCTTAACATCACTTTCTAGTTCCCTTCTCTGTGTTTTGTGGGTCTGCCTTTATTTATATGCCCCTGTGGGTTTCAGTGAATAGACATTCTAGTTATATTGTTTTCAAGTTTTTCTTTTTTTTTGAGCCTGTGCCCTGTCTAACGCCAGCATTCTTCCATCACCACTTGATTCCCTGGAATTTGTTAATTTCCCTCCCGAAACTCCACATCAGTGACTCATACCATCTAATTCCCTCTGTTCTACATAAGCACCAGTTAATGATTATTTGTAGTTTATTATAATTATTTTAGTTGTTTTCCATGTTTCTGCTTCATAAAGAATTATCCATTTGACATCAGAATTAAAAATTCCTTCCTATCTACTCTATATAACATTATGAAGTAGGCAAATCAGTTCCATTCCCAGAGAGACCTTTGGTAACCCAATTATTAGGCTGTACAAAGGCCATAGTTATGCAAGTTTAAAAAGACAAGGTGTGAATGAGTCTACCCTTGTAAAATATGCCGTTGCGTAGGGGATTTTTCTATTTCAGTTGAAAAGATTTTTTTTATTTGTATCTTATTTTACTGTTTCTGGTGTATGCACCTGGTAAGATACAGCTAAATATTTTTGCAATCTACTTTTTTTTTCTTTTCTGCATTCTTCTTCTCTTTTCAACTTTAAAGAATGTTTGCTTTTGTTGTTTTACAGCTAGGCTGCAATATCTGCACCTTTCCGCCAATACACAGATTACAGCAAACCATAGTCACCTTTTGTGGCATGCATTGGGGGGGGGGGGGGGTTTGGGTTGGGGGGGTTCTGTCAAAAATTCTGACACTACTAAAACATGGGACCCCGGAACCCACACAGGGACGTCCTCTTTGTTCAAATATGAATGTTTTTTTTACCTCGACTATCTCTTCAGCCCCATCGTTAAAGCCCTGGTCATCTTCACTGTCCTTTCGCTTGCGCTTGGTTCTGATGTTCTGGATTTGTGTCTTGTGGTAGTCACAAATGTAGATATGTGGACTCTGCATCAGAAAAAAATGTTATTAAAGAAAAACAATCATATTAAAATACTGTACTGTTTTACCCAAAAACCAATGCATGGTTATCCGATGGTGCATTTTTATTTAGCAGACAGGAAAGCCTGGGTGCCTAAAAACTATCCATTACCCAGATCAAAAGAACAATCAATCAACTGGTTGACCCCTTATTCTTGTGTGCAATTTCTGACATTAAATTACACACACATTTTGAATGTCAAAATTACCTTCTTTTCGGCAGCCATGTGTTCCATTGTTTCTTTGGTTTTAAAAAAAAAAGTAGAATAGATGCTGGTTAATCTACATAAGTAAAAACATAAGTAGTTTCACAGCATTTATGGGCCTTGGAGTATGAAATATTAACCTGTAACCCCAAGAAGTGCCAATCAACTTGTCTGCACTGCCAGGTTTGTGAGATGCATAGTTAACTCTCTTAGCTGAATTTGCACCTGCACAATCATTAAGGTGGGTCAGTATATGAAAACATTAGCCAAAAACAGCATTTAGGAACTTTTCTTGCGAACCAAATAGCCATTTTAAAGCCAGGTTATCCTGTAAACCTCAGTGATAGAGGTCAGGTTATGAGTCATCTGATACATATTTGTTTTTAACACACTGAGGAAACCAGAAAACTAAATAACCAGAATGTAATGGCACTTGATGAATAAAAGCAGACCAAGAAACTCATGGATAAGAGAATTAGAGCTTGTGGGTGTGTGTTTTTTTTAATGATCCGGGCTACCGGGTCAACCCAGTCTAGAAAAAAAGTCGGCCCAGCCTAAAATAAGTACAAGGAAATGCTGTGGAAAAGTGTGCAGTCAACAAGATGTTGACTCACTGAATCCTGATTACATAACGATTCCTTAGGTGAGCCCAGGACCAGAGCATTATGTGTCAGCTCTGCCTTCTCCAATGGCTAGGAATGCCCATGATCTGTCCCTGGCATTCCTTGAGGGCCCACAAGTCTACGTGCCATAGTCCTTAATGGGTTCTCTAGGGGCAGCACCTGTAGATGAAGGGACAAACAAGACACCACATAAATAAGGCTACGCCACATCCCAATAAACTAACCAGAAAGGCTAATCCAGTGACAAATGCTGAAAAAACTGGCATATCACCAATGAATTCCAAAGTCAAAGGGGCCCTTCACTACAGAAAGAAGTCTTCTTCTTCTGCGTTCATCCAAAGATGTAGTTGCATTGTGCCCATTTACGACATGGTGGCAATGTTTGGGCCTTTCAGCCGATACATCCGACTTCTGCTGGCATTTTTTTTACATACGTGCGATATATGCTTCTCTTAAACTCAAAACTTATCATTTCAACAAACTCCTAATTAACTGGCTTTTACATGTTTGTAAGGCTACATTACCCCCCCCCCCCCCCCCCCCCCTTGTTTTGTGTGTGCCCACAAAATGCGGCCCCAGAATCCAGACAAGAAAGAGGTAAACTGAACAAAACATCTTACCACTTCATCCCGAGTAAGCTTCAGTTTGCGTGCTTGGTTCTGTATGCGTTTGCTGTAGCTGGCATTGCCTGCTTGTCTCTGACACTTATCGCCGTTGTCGATCAGACAGCACACCTGGTCATGACTGGACCGACTGTCATCTTCTGTGCTAAACCCATTTGTGCTGTGAAGTTGATGGGTTTTTCTGTATCAAACTATTTGTAGAAGGTTTCAACCATATTACTTTCAACAGAACTAGAACATTGGTTCCCAACTGGTTTCAGGTGGTTCCCCCCCCCCCTCCCCCCATTGTATATATGGCAAATCTCCCATGTTCCCCCTCCCAAACTTTAAAAATAAATGTGATTATAAAGAGAACACACAGAAAAATCCCAAGCATTATTAGCAAGAAGTTAGAGAAAAAGATCCATAAAAATCATCAAAGTTTTAACATCTTTGGCTTTTTGTTTCATAAATAGTTTTAACAAAAGTGTATGATTAAACTGAAAGAAATCTTAGTACAGTATAACAGACTATTTCAAGTACAAAAACACTCTTTCTCAAAATTAACTGACTCTTCCCTCCCCCACCCCACCCCCTTCCTTTGAAAGTTTTAGGTTTTTGTGTGTGTGTGTGCCACCAGGTTGAAAACCACTGACCCACTAGGCCCCAAAAAAAGGGCAGACATACAAACAAAAAACACATGGATAAATAAATTAAAGTTTTAGGTGAAGAGAATAAGGAGGTGAAGAACATGAGGTGGTGAATGAGGTGGAGATGGCATGATCTGCATTAACTCTCTGAGTCCCAGGGGGTTTTGCCTCACAGGCCAAGGGGGTATTGAAGAGAGTCATAAAATCGGCGCATCATGCGTTCATTGGGCGTCTAGGTAGGAACCTATGAACGTATGATGCGTTCCTTGGGACTCAAAGAGTTCAAACAGTGAATGCTAGGTTGTGGCTCTATCCTCTTATTCTTCCTCTGCTCTCATTTTTTCCCCCTTCCTTTAATCCCCAAATATAGACCTTTACCGAACTTACAGCAAGCCATCCTATCCTTTGCAGTTTACCTTGTGTCTTTTCTTCTTCTTCTTCTTGGTGTTAACCAGCTGTAGACTCCAGCCAATTGTTCTGGTTCTTCATTCATTTATAGACTCAAGTCTTGTTCCTCAAACTTGAGTTTTGCATGCACATCCATTTTACAGACCTGGCTGATTTATACACATACTGTTGGTTCTTCACATCTCGAACAGAAGTACTCCAACTTCAAAGGAAACACCACAAATTAGTCAACTATTATGACATGCTTGTTACCGAGTAGTGGATCTACTCCTGCCTCCAACTGAATGGGAAATGTCTTTCCAATGTTATTCACCTTTTCCTCAAATACTGTGTCCGTGTTGTGTAGGTTTCCCTTGATCTTTCTGACCCTTAGGTTCCAGCGAGCACATTCTAGGTCTATTATTAGCAGGTTTTCACACTATTATTGGCAGGTTTTCACACTATTATTAGCAGGTTTTCACACTATTATTGGCAGGTTTTCACACTATTATTAGCAGGTTTTCACACTATTATTAGCAGGTTTTCACACTATTATTAGCAGGTTTTCAGACAATTATTAGCAGGTTTTCTTAATGTGTAATCTGGTAATCCTAGTTTCAGCTTCATAGCAAACGGGTCACCCCATAGTTACTCCGCTCCTGTGCCAACAAAAAACACACATAGCTCACAGTGTCACACCATACACTCAACTCAGAAGCTGGGCAACGAAACTATATCCTTCCAGTCTACAAATGGAACAAAAATGCAACGGCCACCGTCTGGCAGGAAAAAAAAGGTGGCTGTGCCTAGCGTCCATTTTGACCTGAAGCATTATATGAGGGTTAATAAACGGTCATCCCAGCAGTACCCTCATTTTTAGCTGGGGAAGGGACTTAGGACATTACATCCACCAGCAGGCGTCGCCCCTACAACGACTTGTTTCTTAATGTGTGTCTTATCCGGTGCCATCATCTTTTCCTCACCTTCTGACTCACTAGATTCTAGTTTCTTTCCATAAGCTCTGCATTATTAATTATGTTGTACATTTAATTAATTCTAACAGATAGGCCGACTATTAATAAATTATCATTCTGTTGTGCTATTTATGTCATTCAGGACTTGCAGTCCATTCCTTTATCTGTTCTGTCCTATGCAATCCTTTAAATATAGTGTATTAAATCCAGCCCAACACCTCTGGTATCTTTCATCAACATTTTTGGTTTGGCGACCTAATATTAAACCTCACCCCTGTCCTGGAAAACGAAACTAAACTAGCAATGCAATGGCAATTTCATTTTCCGTTTATTTATTATTAATTACGATAAATTTATTAAATTCTAATCAAACAATAAACAAAGAACCTGCAAAGCACAATCACACCATAAGCAACATCTTATTTTTCAAAACAATGTTAATTTAACTCACCCAGAGAATCAAAATCCATTCTCAACCTCATTCATTCATTCAGTTTAGAAATGCATTTTTTACCCACCTCGCAACCACCAATTTAAACAAACAACACAGTCACAGCACAAGCACAGCGAACTACAGTTGGATACATACCTAATATTGGACATTTTTGAACCAGAAGTTAAATTATTCGACTGCATTAGGGTTGTTAATGTCTCAACTTCGTCAAAAAATAAAAAGGTTCTACGAGTTAAAAGCGTTGTATGGGGAAGCCTTGTTTGTCGTCTGACACGGAGCGCGGCGGTTACACACAACACGCAAGGATGTGTTCGTGTACCGGTGTCGGGAAAGTTTTATGGTCTCAAAAATGTATCCATGCGTTGTTATTTGTGAATTGTTACTATTAATACAATTAATATTGCTACTGATATTATTACTGTCTCTATTGCTATTGCTTGCATGTATAACTTTTAAGAATGTTGTAAAACGGGGGGAGGGGGGGGGGCTGAAAATTTATGGTCACATAGCTTGGACTTCTATACTAAAAACTCCCGCGTTCTCAATTACTCGGCCAACTGCTATTATTAGTATACCCTTAAATAAGGCTCATGCCCACTTTACCCACAACTTCGAAAAAAACTGATATCAGGAGCAAAGTGTGCAGAGCAAGCTATGGACTATAGAGAACCATGAAGGACCCGCTGCCGACATGCGAGTTCATAGAGGCAACCCACCTGATAGTCTGATCATCTGAGCATACGAAACCGAACGCAAAGAAGAAGAAGAAGATTTATATGGGGGAGGGGAAGCTCCCGGGGCATACAACAGTCCCTTCATACAGTAGTGCATGTTTTCTATTGATCAAACCTCTACTTTACATGCTATTTGTATCAGGCACCGTCGGCACTGGACTCTCCGTTGGAAGGGGACAGAAAACGGAGAAGAATGTCATGGGTGCAGTGACGCCAGTTTCACTATTTTTATGTTTTATTCATTCATTGTTCATCTTTTCCTTAATGGGTTTTATGTTACGATTTTTATGTCTTTCGCATTTTATGTATAAGCAGCATGGCAAAGTTGTCAAGCTGTTTGAATCGCGCTCCAAAAGTCGTGGGTTCGTTTCACAGCGGCGCCGTTTAGTTCACGAGTGAATTTTTTAAACAGAGATCCATATAGATCGTCGAGGAGCTACGGGGTTCGTGTTTGTGCGACGCTCTTAGCAGGCGGCTGTCCATTCATGAGAGAAAGACCGAGCCATATGAAAGGCTACTGCACAAGCAATCACTATATGACGAACATTACCAGAAGAGGCAACGTATGAGGCATCTAGAAAAAAAAAGGGCAGCCGGACAGCGAGACAAGCTAGAAAAACCCGTTTAATTAACAGGGCTCTACCTACAAATACTGTTCCCTGTCCTGAATCCTTTTGGGCCTGTATTGAGCCTATAAGTCACAGATGGACACAGACAATCAACTCTGGTTTTACTATGGATGAAAGAAAAAATGGTCCTCATCACTTGTGTTGGTCGAACAACAATATTGTGCAGAAACTTGGACAATGAGCAGGCAACTAGAAAACTGATTTGAGTCTCTGGAAATGTGGATATACAGAAGAAATCTTATTTCACGGAGACAAAAACAATCAAATACAGGGTTTCTTGGGGGATTGTGTATGGCAAGAAAGTTACTAAAAGAAATAAAAGAGAGACAGTTGGAATATTTTGAACATGGCGCTCTTTTTTAAAAACCACACTGGGGTGGGGGTGGGGGGAGTGGGGGGGGGAGGTCAAGGACAGGAGAACAGACGGCAGATGGCGATGCAGGTTGAAGGACACCATCAGGAGATAGACAAACAGCAGTCTGAGAGATATACATCTAAGACAAGAGAAGAGCACATTGAAGATCCATTGCAACCAGCCTTCATTGTGAAGACGACACCTGATTGATTGACTGTAGTTCTCTAGAGCAGTGTTTCTTAATCTGTTTCAACCCGCGACCCAACAAAGCGGGAAGACTGTTTCGCGACTCATCTGACAGTTAACATAGCATCATCATCATCATCATCGTCATCGTCATCAGGTGCTTTGTCGACTGGCGTAGGCGATCATGCCTCTCCACAATCTGCGATCTCCTGCAGCATGTATTAGTTCGCGTGCGTGCCATTCAACAAGACCGTCAATAATCTTCTCTCGTTGTCTTCCTCTATCCCTCCTTCCACAGATCTTTCCAGTGGTCACAACATGTTCCATTTTCCCTCTTCTCATAGCATAGCCGAAAAATTAAGCCCCAGTAAATCCCCTGGCTTGATGGAACACGTACTTTTATCGGACGAGACGACGGTGTATCAACAGGTACTGGTGAGACTAGGTTCATTTGTGGAGTATGGTTTGATGCGGCAACCGGTCTGCCTGTGGTCGAGTGACGAGCGAGAGATCAGAAGCACGCAAACACCGCCCCATATAGTAGTGTGAGAGCAGGTGATTGTGCTGTGGTCGGACATGTATTGGTTCGGACTTGCGTTATTTTCGTATTGCATTGATCACGCCATGTCTAACTCGACATAAAATGCGTCAGTATCTTCTTTTGAACTATCTGTTGGGCATAAATCTGTACTAAGTTGACCTCAAACGTGAAGCTTTACTAATAGTACTCTATCTGAAAATTGTCCAAAATCCTTTCACAATTTTTGAGTTCTTTGGATCCAAAATAATACCAACTCCCTAATTATATTCCTTTCCACTTGAGTAAATAATTTTGTGCTGATCTGAATACTTTTCCCCTGCTCCTGGCCATCGCATTTCACTAATTCCTAATATGTTGATGTTCATTCTCTTCATTTCCATCTTGATGCTATCAAACTTTCCTTTTTGTACGAGTGTTTCTGACATTCCTTGTACCAATGTTCAGGATGTTTCTTTCATTTACTTTTTTTATTTTTTTTTTATTTACTTTTTCTACAGTAGCCCGATGACGGTCGGGGGTCACCCGTAGAACATGATGCTCCCTATCGGACGAGGTGAATCCAATGGAATCCCCCATTTAGATCGTTATCTGAATTCGTTATGTTTCGAGGTATTTTTTTTTTTTTAGGGGGGGGGAGGAAATACAGCGGTGGATTCCCTTTGCCTTCTGCCGGTTTGTATATGGTTTGAATCAAATAGCCTTCGTCTAAAGAGACTTACCCTGCAAGGCAGCAGGAAGGTGGGGGGGGGGGGGGGTGTATGGCGCCTCTTACCCGCCGATGGCTATGTAGTAGAGTTTTTAGATATTTTTTAGAGTTAGCTGTCCCACCAACTAACTCGCCTCCTCTCAATGACTGTCACCTATTTTGGCCCACGTCCACTTATTCAATATATTCGTTGATAACCTCTATATCTAGAGGCCTTTCCAAATCCGTATTCTGGTGGATGCGCCTAGTAGTAGGATATGCTCCTACCCCAGGTTAACGTAACACAGGGGGAAAAATGTGTTACTTTTCTTTCAGCCCATATAGGGGACTACCAGATTTCAGGAAAGGGGGGGAGGGGGTTGTTAATCGGTGTCCATTTCACACAACAAATGTAAATGGCAGTTTATTTGTTAAATCATATGAAACAATTGTTCGGCTTTATGTGACGTTTGTTGCTGATTAGAGATTAGAAAGGCTAATATGCGTGGTTGGAACGTCAATTTTAATATCAAGAAAAGATATAAAACCGAACGAAAAGTATATTAGCAAACTTTACAGTATAACAAATACAAACAAAATGCAAACGTTGCGCTATGAAGCCTTCATCAGCACATACAATACAACACAAATACACAAAATCACTTAGCTGGTATCTCGAAGCAGTCGGGTGATGGTTTCTCAGTCTACACGCGCGGGCTAAGGATATAAATACTCCCTGTGAAATACCAGGGGCCATAACTAGGGGGTTTGAGATAAAACTGTGAGGGTAGTTCAATTCCCTAGGAGTTTAAATGAAGCTGCGTTGACAATTCAATCCGGAGGGTGTTAAAGTACCCAAAGTGTAAATAACGCGATTCTCAAGACTTCCGGACTCGCTGGAGTGGCTAGATTTAATGGCTGTCACCTACCTGCCGAGGACACCTTGGAGATCCTGGGAATTTAATTGCAACGGTACTGGTTTCAGGACACCATTTTGCACATCCAAAAGATGTCTTAATCTGGCAGCCAGCCGTAGACCCGTTTCACAAATGTATTTCATGCCACATCTCTTGCAGTTGATGGCATAAATGACATTGCAGTACAATAGAATGCTTCACGTATGTGGAAACTGGCGTTCGGGAATTCTAGACTAGTCCCCTGGACCACACATGGACAGGTCCTGCACACAGGTCTGTGGCAAGAGACTATGCCGAAGTGGAACTCAGACGCGGGACGTAACCGACTCTTGACTAGAATGTTCTTGAGGTTACGGCCATGTCTGTAGGCCACTGGAGGAGGTTCAGAGAAAATCGTGCTGGTGGCAGGGTTGGCTTTAAGGATGGAAAGATGCCTAAGGAAAATATTTTGGGCGCGGATGTTGTGAGGGTGGTAGGTGAGTGTGAGGATAGGTCTGTTGTGGTGACGCTTAGTCTTGGAAACGTGAAGGCGGCAGATAAGACATGTTTAGGATACCCTCGAAGCCGGAAAAAGTCTAGCATTTCCAGGGCCTTGTTGTGAAAGTCATCGTTAATTTTAATAGACGTACACGGTAACGATGTTTTCTTAGAAGTAGGTGCGCATCTACCTAGGAGGCAAGGAACCAATGGACTACATATAATAAGCAAGATGAGAAGAAGAACACGAAGAAGAAGAAGAAAACTGCTACCTAGGAGGCAAGGAACCAATCGATTACATATAATAAGCAAGATAAGAAGAAGAAGAAGAAGAAGAAGAAGAAGAAGAAGAAAGAAGAAGAAGAACAAGAAGAAGAACAAGAAGAAGAAAACTGAACGCAACATGGTGACACCGCCTTCTCATCACCGTCTACAGAAACACAACAAAGTCACATGACATCTACGCATCGCTATGATTGGCTTCAGCCCCGGTATGTTTTGCAATGCTGCAGCAGCGTTGTTATCTGATTAGTCGAGAAGCCGGCGCGAATCCAAAACTAACCAATCAGATCGCTAGCAGCCGATCGTCTGTAACGCGACAAGACGTTTTGGCGTGGGCTCGATCCAGGCTTAACTATTGCAAATATCCAGGTAAACTATTATTTCTGCCCTTATTATACCCAAATTTATAAGTTTACATCTAGTGAAATATAAATTATGATATAATTCATTTGTTTATGAATCATAATCCAGCGTCTTTTGTTGTTTCTTTGCCGGGCATGAAAATCAAACTCAACTAAATGCGACTGCTGCCAGTGCTGAAGAACGCCATATTTTCTCTATGGATCTTTCTCCTGCAAGATGACGTCCGCTAAAATTATTTTCTGGTGAAATAAACCAAAGCGCACCCCTTAAAAATCACATATACCCCATCTGTAACCATACCTTTTTAAGTCGGTGGGTGCCTAGCTAGTTAGACGTTGTATTTATGTAATAATAATGGCTTAAACCGTGAGACCCCATGTGGGGTTTCCAGTACAACGACAGACGGGAAACGGCCATAGCCCTGTAATGAAGGCTGTAGTCTGCGACCGCCGTAGACCCAATGTTAAACCTCCCCCATAGCAAACCATTGCAAACACGGACCTCGGAAAAACGTAATTTAAAAACATTTTACCCAAGTGTAAAAATATAAAACTTGCAGAAAAGCGTAAATGTATTGTTGGGTGTGCGTTTTATGTAAGAATTGTGGTTGTTTGACATTGAAAAGTAGGTTTTGAGGTCGTTGTTCGCCGGGGCTGTTAGCCGCCATAATAACAGTTGCTGATGTGCAGGCTGTGTGAGGACAAGCCATTTGCATATAAATGGGAAAGCATAAGCAATGGGCAAATAGGTATATTTGAAACATGAAAATCTTTTGCTGTAGTCTTTACCTATGATTTGAATAGCTGAAATTGTGGACATACATGGAAGTATGAGTATATATACATTGCGATGAGTATATTGGTTAGTTATTTGCTACAGATGATTAATTAAAAATTCAGCCTTGAAACTTGACGTTTTTTTTTTTTTTTTAGTTGGAGGCAGGAAGAGGCGGGGCGTAGACATAGAATAGTTCTTTTAATTTTAACTCTTTCACTTTTTGTTCTAAGTTGTTGTTACTTTAACTCCTTGTGTATGGTTGAGCTGAGCTTAAATGTTTTAAACACTTGAAAGAAATGCAACAATACGCCACAGTAAACTAATACTTGATCAGAAGCTCAGGTACTTAGAAATCATTGGATTCGGGGGGGGGGGGGGGGGGGGGGGGGGGGGGATTGTTAGAATTGTTGGGTGAGTATGCGGCTTCAGGGGGTCTAAACCCTATTTAAGTGCATTCTTATTATGGTGGTCAGAGGTTAGACTGACAACTAGATCTAATAATTTATTTGAAGTATGACAAGGAGAAACTTATATAGAGTTTCTATACTTGATTACAGTGCACCTATTAGAGGAAGTGGGACTCAGATGGTCAGAGCTCCCAGGTTACAGATAGAAATGGTGGCTCTCCTTCAAACTACGGCCGGTTAGACGGCCAGTTAGTCGGAGTTCAGTCCCTTGGCTGCAGTGCAATTACGGAGTGGAAAAGAGGGAACGAAACAAATGACATAATTACTGTGTATTGGCGATAGATAGTATGCAGTGCCCTGCTGTCATCATACGGCTAGGGTGTGGGTTAGGGGTATGGTTAGGGTTAGGGTGACATATGTAACGTCGAGTACTTAACCATAATGAGGGCCGCTATATCTGATAATTTTGACACAGGAGTTGCCAATAAAAGCCGAAAATGTGCTGCTTGTGGCAGTGGCGCCAGTGGAATTCTGCTAAATGTGAAGGCAATAGCGCCCGGCTAGTGCCCAATTGGTGGCGAATTTTGCGTTTCAGTAGCATCCAGCATACAGATTCGCAGGAGTCACATCTACGGCCACTAAGTCTTGCGTCGCAAGAACGAGGTCGCTAGTGTGAGTCTAGCTCTAGCAGCCATGTCGACGTCACTTTGTTTTGTGATTCGTGCCTTCTCCACTCAAAGGAGAACCGAAATGGTTAATGTAAAGCTAGTGCAAGAACATCATTATTTTCGGAATGATTAAGAAACCAAGGGTGTTATTTGGTACTGAAGGAGCTAAGATGTAGATAGGTAATTAACTGTTAATTTTTGAATTAATAATAGACATCAAAGTACTTGGGGCATTTCCGTAAGCACTCCACCCCCCCATCTTCAGCAGCGATTGCAGTTCTAATTCTTATAGAATCAATTTATAATTAACTTGAAAGAAGGTAATATATTCGAAAAATTGAATATATGCTTTTTTTTATTATTATTTACTTGAAAGAATCCTGTGTAATATATTTCGTCCTTTTCAGGACGAAAATTTGAAGCCCTACTCTGGCTTTTGCCAGGGGGCCGCAATATAGGCAGGCCATAAAATATGGCAAATGTCTGAACGCGGTTTCTGGGACCTCTCCACGGCGATCCTCATCCGCATGGTGGCACTTTGTGTCATCGGGTGTTTATCGCTTGTGTGATGTCCTGGTGGGGTAAAAAATCCAATCCAATCCAATTTCTTGTTACCAAAAAAACTTTTAGACCCCCCTATATTATGTAATATGTATTCTTAATGCAAGCCATGTGAAGACTTTGATCAAAGTTTTGTAATGTAATTGAAATTCTGGTCATTTCAGGCTATTTCTATCACAGTTGTTACTTAACCTCTTTCTGTTTAGGCACTTAAGCTCTTTTAAGCTCTTATAATTAGTAGTATTTGAAACAATGTCCTTTTAAACCCATTTAGGTTATAATTGGGATATATATAGTTTTCCTATTTCAGTATTTGATATTAATGCTAGTCAGTTATGTTTGGTTATTTAATATTGCATAGATTGTGTTTTAATTGTATGAGTATAAAGTTAATTTATTTTTTTCATGTACTTGTTAAATAGTTTAAATCAAGCTGTGTAAAATTTATCTTTGGACAGGTTTAAAGTGAACTAAATTACTGTTATTCTTTTTTTTTTTTAAAGTATTTTTTCATGCATTTCATGTTACCTCAAATATCTTAGCATATTTATTTTCCATTTTCCACATGAAAATAATGATTATTATTCTTGCAAACATTAAACCAATTAGTAGTCTCTTACAACATGCTTTTGGGTAGGCAATGGGTCTATTCATGCTTTCCCTATAATAGGGCCCCAAAATCCACATAGAGATTACTTTAAAAAAAAAAAATTACCTTAGCTCCCAGGTCGATCCAACCTTAAACGAGTACCAGATAAAGTCCTGGGAAGCAAAGGTGGTTGACGTGGTGCTGACCAAATCACCCACCAGGGGCTGTTTGGTCTATAAAATATAGGTCTAGCCTTATATGTGCAATACATCTAAAGGCGCGGAAATAGATTTTTGCTTACCCTAGATTTATTCTTAATGTGTTTTTTTTTTTCTTTCCCATTTTGATCAAAATATTTCCAGTTTGTTCATACCTCTTTCAAAGCTTCACACTTGTGATTCTGGTCTAGGGTTCAAATCTGCACTTGTGCTGGAATTTGTTTGAAAAATTTACCTTGGCTTCTGGATCAACCCAGCCTAAATTTGGTACCATGTAATGTCTTTGGAAGCAAGAGTAGCCGTCTGATGTCGGCCACATCTCCCATTAAAGGCAGATTTATCTATACAAAATAAAATATTAGCGCTGTGTGCCCAATGTACCACTGGCGTAAAAGTCCTTCACTGTACTTAATAATTGTTGAATGAAATTAAGAATTACAGTTAAACACTTATTTCTCGTTGCACAGATAAGACTTGAACCACATCCACTATGGGCAAGAAGGACGGTGAAAGTAAGCCTAGAGGGCGCATGTCCTCATATGCATTCTTCGTTCAGACTTGTCGAGAGGAGCACAAGAAAAAGCATCCTAATGACACAGTGGTGTTTGCAGAATTCACAAAGAAATGTGCAGAGAAATGGAAGGTAATTATTTTGGTCCTAATGTCCTACAGTGGTGTTACTATTATTTGCTGTGTAATTAACTACACAACGGTAACAAAGAGGAGAATATTCAAATCTGTTCGAGAAAGGCCACCGGCCTAAACATTTTGTGTTGTTTTGTGCACATTTTTCTGCTTCCCCATTTTGTTAAGCTTTTTAGTCACATTTCCCTGGAATTCTATGAGACACAAGGTTATGTTAGACAGGACTACTAGCAGGAATTATAAGAAGTTCTAGAACCTCATCTTTGCTTTTTATGTTAAAAAAACTTAAATGTGCATTTTTTGTTTGTTAAGTTATGTCAAGAATTGACATCACAGAACTCGGGGCATTCCCATGCTAAAGTAAAAGTGCTCCGTCCTCATCTTCAGCAGCCAGCGCAGAGTTCCAATACTGGTGGTACCGGTCACAATCTGGTTATTTATTTCATTTCATAAGAATTGTCGCCAGAGCTAGGGAGCGCGTGCTCTGCGCTTGACGACATCTTAAGTGAACAGCAAAGAGAGTGAAGAGGAGGAAATGGCGAGAAAAGAAAGCAGAGAAACAGAAGGTCAGGAGCTTTAGGCAAAAAACAGAACAGCTGGGGTTCAACCATGTAAGAGTTTGCTTTTGGAACTGTCGCAGTGCCAGAGAGGGCCCATACTAGAGATGTTGATATACAATTTTGATGTAAACATGCTTCCGGAGCTGAATGCAGACCTGGATATGTCAGATATGTGCATCTTTTTGAGACACGAGGAACCGGACCTCTGCACACAGATAAGCAGTAAAACCAGTATGCAAAACTCAAGTCCTGGATCGAGACCAACGTACAGAAGTGGACGAACAGCAAGGACTTACTGCAGGAGTTTACAGCTGGTGAACATGAAGACGAAGATGCAGCACTTGTGTTGATAACTGGTGTTGATGTATGTTTTCCATTTATCATATAAATAATTTCAGGAAATGACCCCAAAAGAAAAGAAGAGGTTTGAAGACATGGCAGAGAGAGACAAGTCAAGGTATGAGAAGGAGATGTCTTCTTATGTACCCGCTGGAGGCCAGGCAAAGAAGAGGAAGAGGACAAAGGATCCCAATGCACCAAAGAGAGCTCTGTAAGTTGTTTTTTGTATATGAGTGAGTGGCTTTTAATTTACAAAGAAGGCGTTGTCTAAAGTTAAATTTTACTGCCTTCACTGTAGCATATGTGAGCCGTCGTGGTCTAGCTAGATGCTTGCCTGCAGATAGGAAGGTCGTGGGTTCGGTTCCTGACAGAGGCAGGACTTTTTTTTCGAAAATGACCATGGCTGTCAGGTCGACACAGCCTTGGTTGGGTACCAGGTGCAGTTCTGGGAAGTAAAGACGGCCAGCATGATGTTGACCACAACACCCACCAAGTGCCATTTGGTTTATAAAATAAAGGTCTAGCTCTATGTACCCAGTACGCCTAAAGGCATGGAAAAGGGTCCTTTACTTACTACGTCAAATCAAGTAGTGTTGTATGAAGCAGAAACATGGAGAACAACTACTACAGTTACTAATAAACTACAAATATTCATTAGGTTGTGCCTCTGCAGAATAGAGGGAATTAAATAGTACGTTAGAATCACCAGCTTTGGAGAGAGCTAAACAGGTTTCGGTGGACAAGGAAGTGAAGAAAAGATGGGTGGCGCATACGCTGAGAAAACCTGAGAACAGTAAAATTAGAATGTCATTGCACTGGAACCCACAGAGACTTACAAATCCAGGCAGATAAAAAAACACATGGAGAAGAAAGCTAGAAAATGAAGTTAAAAAGATGAGAATGTGGGATGAGCTGCATGCAATAGCAAAGGATAGAACAACTTGTCGTGAGTTAGTTGAGGGCCCATGCTCCACTGGAGGAATAGAAGGCAGAAGAAGAAGGCTCATCACATCACCCACCAAGTGCTGACTGGTCTGTAAAAAATAGGTCTAGCCCCATATGCCCAACATACCTGCAGGCGTGGACAGGGGTCCATTATTTTACTGTGGCATATAACAGGACAGCCCTCTTATCATATTCAAATGACCTTAATTATCGTTGTCTCTACCAACATTATCAGCAGCGTCAGAATATCCAGCATCACCACAGTCATCATTATTATCTCAGCCATCATCGTCATCACCACAACAATGGTTTAATTGCAGGGACATTTTCTTTTGAAATGGCAGAGTGACTTTTTATAACACCCAGGTGGGAGCCGCGGTCGCAGAGTGGTTCACCACCGGCCTGAAGATCTTAGATTTGAATCTGTATTTATTTTTATTTGTATTTTTCAAAAATGACGTTGCCTCCCAGGTCGACCCAGCCTAAAAATGACGTTTCCTCCCAGGTCGACCCAGCCTAAATATGACGTTTCCTCCCAGGTCGACCCAGCCTAAAAATGTTACCAGGCAAAGGTGGCTGGCTAATATTGACCACAAGGCCCACTGAGGACGAATTGGTCTATAAAAATATGAGGCTAGCATAAAAGAAAAGGTGTGAAAAGTGTCTTTTACTTCTAAGTTATAACTGACCTAAACAGTGTGCAGGCACAAACACGGCCAATAATGTTAACGGGGCTTCTTGGAAACACCAGTGTAGAAATGCTGGATCAGTTGCATTTACTGGATTGAATGTCTGCCAGATTCATGACTTCTCAGGGACGAAAGGGTTACACATTATAATGGCTTGGAAAGAACAGTAATAAAGAGAATTGTTCATGAAAGAAGTGGCGGGTGTTGACCAGCTTAACTGGACACAGAATAATCAGCGATATCCTACATAAAAGTTCACATGGCAGGAAAGTTCAGAAGGGAGCCGAGTAGGCTGGATGGCTTACTGTGGTGAGAGCAGTGTTCTGCAAAGACTCTTCTGCATGGTGATGGTTGAGAAGAGCCAGTAAACATGGTCTGAGATATCACACTGGAGCCAGATACATCAGACACAGTGTAAACATCATTACTTTATGCTGTTTAATACAGAACCCAAATCATTATATGTATTCACTAGTACTCCCCATGTGGAGTCCAGGGCCCCATTGAATGGGGGGGGGGGGGGGGGGGTGGGGGTGTGAGATAAACCACTGCCATCTAACAAGCATGAAATAAAATGTGACTAATTAGAAGCATTTCCTTCAAAATGAGAATGCATCTGCCCAGGAGGCGAGGATCCAACAAACAGCTGAATACAAAGTGGGTACATCTGTAAAATGGATGTCCATGCAGAACTTGAGTTCTGGAATAAAACCAAAGACCAGAAGTGGACAAACAACCCGAACTTTCCTCTGGAGTTTTCAGCTGGGGAAGGCTAAGAAGAAGAGGAAAGAACACAGAGCACAAACATTTTAGGTCACCAACTACCATTATTGAGAGGAGTGACAGTGGTAAAACATAAATATGAGTTTTTGTTTTGTATTTCAGGTCTGCATTTTTCTTTTTCTGTGCTGAGGAAAGGCCGAATGTTCGGGCAGCTAACCCAGGTATTGGTGTAGCCGATGTGGCGAAGGAGCTGGGAAAGAAATGGGAAGTTTGTCCCAACAAACCAAAGTTTGAACAGTTGGCAGCTGAAGATAAAGCAAGATATGAAAGGGTGGGTAGTTGCTTATGTGTTATTTTTGTCTACTTCTTTAAAAAATTATTTTTTTGATGATTATACTTGCTTTACTCACAGGAAGAGAAGATTTACTGAGAGAGAAAAACATTTCTTTCATTCAATCAAGAGAGGAAACATGTAGAGATGAGAGCTAGAAAGTAAACAGATGGGGAGGACATAGGATAAGCGTGCATGTTATAGCAAAGGATAGGACCACTTCGTGTATGGTAGTTGTTGGCCCATTTGGGGATAAAGAGCAGGGACCCACACACAAAAAACCCACAAGAAAAGACTGCTTGTGGATAGGACACTGTGAGAAATCTGATAGTAGTATAACTATAATGTCCTTACACAGAAACCTAAAGGGCAAATGAGATAGACCTAAACATCCAGGGAGAAGAGAATTAGAGAGACAGATAATTGGGGAGGATATTGATGGACCTTCAGGATCTGGCAAAAGACAGATTTCTCAAGTTTTCCTATGTAAGCTAAGCCACAAATATGTCGCTTTGCTCCAACCGGCTTTGTTATGGTCAAAGGGCATGAAAGCCGTTAATGATAACAAAGTGGCTGGTACGGCTTGTCTGTCTCCACAGTGGTCATATGTTTCAACCCCCTGGATTTTTATAAAATATACTTCTTTGAATGACCTATTTTTATTTCACTTCTCTTTGTACAGTATTTTAGGATTTCTGATGTCAATTCTTGACTGAAGTCAACTCAACTCAACTCAGCTCAGCTCACCTCAGTGACTGACTAGCTGCGTCTTCTTTACATTCACTTCTTCTTTTGTTCGCCTGAAATAAGTTGTCTATATCAGCAATTTTGTCTCTTGTATAAATTTCACTGTCATTGTTAGTTCATTCAGTGGTCCATAAAGTTTACTTTGCACTGTTGTTCTTGCTGTAAACTTCGATGGAAAGCTCCAGTTGTTCATCATATTTTGGACTGTGGTCTTATTCCAGGACTTGAATGTTGCATGCACATCCGTGTTTGCAGATCTGACTTATTTGTGTGCAGTCTGTTAATTCCTTTGCCTCTTGGTTAGATGCAATCAGTAGTTGGGAACCTTTCTATAGGATGACCATAGAGAGGTGTGGAAAGCTCCTGGCCAGGGGGTGTCTCAGTCCTGGTGCACCACCACATGTGGTTCATGGAAAGATAAAAAACCGAAATAAAATTAGATCAACGAGCTTCACAAACACAAAGAAAACATGAATGTTGCGGCTATAGAGTCCTTATCAGCACATACAAAAATCAAACAAAACCACACAGAAACACAAAAATTACTCAGTTGTGTACACAGGAGCAGCCCCGCTGATGTCTTGCCAGTTTAATCTATATGGTTCAGCACTCATCATCCCACCTGACCTCCAGTTTGGTCAGTAATTAACAACCAGTATTATAAGATACCAGATGGTCAAGGAATTCAAAATCTTTCCTGCTTGTAATGTTTCAGGATATGGCAGTATACCGTGGTGGCGGTGCTGGTGTTGGTGGCGGCGGCGGAAGTGCAAGTGCTGTCCCAAGGGCATCCCCGAAGAAAGCAAAAGTGAATGATGATGAAGACGATGACGAGGATGATGATGATGATGACGATGACGAATAAACACATGGTGCCATATTCATTTTGGAATGTACATGTTCCTACCTGCCATTTCACCAATCATATTTATCATTTTGTACATACACCATCCTTCATTTTACGTATGGTTTGTTATAATTTACCAAGGTCCGTTTATAGCAACGTTACTCCCCGATGTGTTGATCTTTCTCATAGTAAATATCCTGCACTGTTGGCTTTCGGTTTTTAAAGACAAATCCTTGTGTAATTGTTTGGCACTGTAGTTAATGTAATTTATGTATTCAGTAATCTGTGTACTTTGATGTGAAAGGCAACTGTGTAAGTTACATTTTGTAAAATAATATATGCTACCAGTACCATAATAAGGATCAAATGGTTTGGTCATGTCCTTAGAATGCAGCCACAGCTACCATTATTGTTGTTTGCGTTCACTGGCTATAAACTCCAGTGGAAAGACCTGGTTGTCCATCCATTTCTGGACTGTCCTTGTTCTAGGACCTGAGTTTTGCGTATGCATCTGTTTTCTGACTTTGTATGCAGATTGCTGGTTCCTTGCCTCTCAGGCAGATGCAATCAGACTTCAAAGGAAGCCACCAGTTAGTCGACTCTTACAACATGCTTTTTGGAGAGGCAGTGAGTCTATTCTTGTTTTCCCTACAACGGGGACCTGAAACACACACGGGGGAGCTATCATTATTAAAATGGTCAAGTGACAGCAAGAGGGTGCCAAGAAGAAGAAACTTGACCGATGACATTAAAATCTTGTGTCCACCTAGCAATGGATCGCAAACAGTTCCTCCCTGTGATGCTTAACGGCAAAATTGGAGAATGATGAGTATCTCAAAGAAGTGATGGGAAGAGATGCATTTCTTTTCCTACAATGTCATTGGATGTGTAGCTCATACTGATATTCTTCATTTTCGTTCGTCCTAACAACAGGTAACTAAATTCAAAACTGGAAGGGGGGGGGGGGGGGTTAACCCACTGCTCCCTAGCAAGACTGAAACCAGTCTTGCAGTTTATTAAAGAGAAACAAATGAGGTGGTCTGACGAAAATGTCCTGGTACCAGCTGTCAAAGAAGGCAACGCTGAAAAAACATACTGAACATAGCGAGGGAATGACCAAAGAAAATATGGAACAGAAAAAAACATACTGAACACAGCGAGGGAATGACCAAAGAAGAGATGGAACAGCATCATCAAGAACAGCCTTTAAAAACATAATGGTCAACTTACACAACACATTAGAAATAGCGCACAGAAAATCCTGACCTCTCTCCCAGCACATGAATGAGACAGGTGGAGAAAGCTCAGTCATCTTTTATTTCTTCTGGTTACAGAAAAGGATCATTCTGTAAAGAGCAGTTAAACTCGGACCACTTAGCAAGTGAGGCCGGATGGCATGATCTTGACCCATCACCCACTGAGTGCAGATTGGTCTATAAAACATTGGCTTAGCCCTATATGCTCCAAGGCGAGGAAAAGGGTCCTTTACTTTTACTTTTCAAGTGAGCTCACTAACCACTAGCTATATAGCAGGCGCACATCTGGCACGTTGTTTCTCTTAAATACATTAGTTGTGGCATTTTGGAGGCCACTTTGTACACAGAAATACAAAAGCTTGTCTCTCCTTTGCAAGCTATAAAAGCCATGACATATAGTTTGGTGTATTTGATTGTGCCTTTTGTGTAATGATTTTCAGCCTCAGATGTGTTTTTGTCCCTCTTCCCTTTGAATGTTATTTTTTTCTTCTTTAATTATCACTGAAGACAAAAACTTGTCATTGTCATTGCCTTTGTGTTTTCTGAATTCTGCGCTTTGGATGTTTGGCATTGTAAATTAGACTGAAATTGAAAAATAAAATTTGAAATTTTATCTCGCTGATTGTTGTTTTATCACAATCGATGACTTTGCACGTTTTGCCCATCCTTTGTGCTGTGTAAATAGGGGGTGACTGCAGTCAAACAGGCAAGACAACAAGGCTAATTTAAAAAAAAAAAAAAAAAACAAGGTCAACATGAAACCAAGAAGTATGTAATGAGGGAAAAGTAAGACTATGAAGGCTATAATACGAAATGAATAAAATAAGTAAGAAGTCGTATGTGAAAAGAGGATAAGAAAATATGAATAAGTTAAATAAATTAACAAGTAAGTAAAACTAAATAAAGCTGTGTTGAATATTGATCCCTCCAGGATTAAGAATGCCAGAACTATGGATCAAACATTTTTTTTTATGAGTAGTGGCTGGTTTGATCACTAGAGCAGGATTTAATAGCAGCACTGAGATATTGTTTTCGCCTTGGTGGTCAGAACTGTTGAAATGGAGGGAGAGTTTTGAGAGCCTTATTACGTATATCGACAAGATGTTAACGAAAGCGATCTGCTAGCTTCCTACTGGTTCCCCAGCCACAGTATATGACTTTTTACATCTTTTGCAAATGATGGCATTAATTAGGTAACGCAGTGCACAAATAAATGCCTCTAATGTGAAATAAACCCTTCAGGAAGCAGACCAAAGTGGTTTGGATCTCAAATGAACATGTTTTAAATCTTGATCTGAGCATTTAGGAGTACCGAAAAGAATTGCTGTCTAGATTGGAGGCAGTCTGCTTCTGACAAGTATGTTTTTAAGATTAAGGTCTCACCTGTAGACAACTCTAGGGTTGTCACTAAAGATCTCACAGGTGTCAGGATCAGATCAAAGAATATTAAGGTGATGATTGAAGATTCTAGACAGTTAAATGATTAGGGTCACAAGATCAGTTTAGGTTTGTCAGGAGGAGATTTAGATTTAGTGGGCAATGTCCGAGTGATGGATTGTACTTTTTTTAAGAGCATGCGCTCAGGGTAAAGGCGGGCACGGAAACAATCCACAAACTTGCGTGCCTTACTCAGGAAATCGGAGTCATCAGAACACAACCAATGTAGTCTATGCAATCGAGAGTAAGTAAACAAAGATCACTTTCACGCCTTAGGCGCATCGGGCATTTGGGAAAAGTGTTCCATATATTTACCGGTCAATCGGCACTGGCTGGGTGTGGTCAGCATTTACGCCGGCCATCTTCACTTCCCCAGGACAGCCATCCTGGTACCCATTTTAGGCTGGGTCGACCTGCAACGCCCCATACCATGATAAAAATACACGCAGACAACAGTGGGTTTCGATCGCAGTACATTTGGAATTACGAGTCGGACTCGCAACTCCTTAGCTACGGACGCCGCATGCAGTTGAGAGAGTGGTATAGAATTTTTGCAAGAGAATGGGTCAAAGGATATATAGAGAAGATAGTTATGAGAATCAATAGGCACAGGTGGTTAAGAAAGGAAAGCAGATGTTAACCTTAACGTTCAAGAAATTCACGGAAGTGGTGGAAATTAAGGAGGTGAATTGAATATCGGGATTGAAGGTGCT